TCTCACCCTCTAATTAACTAATCCCTTCACCATTCACCCTGGTGAAGTCCTCCTATCCTCATCCTGTGTAGGATCAAAGTCCAGCCACCAGACACTTCTGGCAACATTCCAGGAGTCCCGAGCCCCCCAAGGGTGGTCTCGATGGCCCGGCACCTCAGGACTGAGATCCTGAGATCCGACATTGGTGTCCCAGAGCTTTTCCAGAAGGTTCCCCTCCAGCATTCCATGTCCTGGCACCGCTGGGCATCTGTGCTGTGAGAATGGTTTGAATGAGCAGTGGGAAAAGGAGAGATGGTAGAATCCAGCGCTGGAAAAGCATGGAATGGTCAGTGGGAGTGCTGCTGAGCTGTCCCCTCTCCCCCCAGGTGGACCACAGTGACCCCCATGAGCTCCAACCGCAGCGCTGCCGGCGTCACCGTGTTCGAGGGACGCATCTACGTGTCCGGGGGGCACGACGGGCTCCAGATCTTCAACAGTGTAAGGGCCTGGCCAGGGCTCAGCCCCTGCACTCAGCACCTCTGTGTCCTGTCCCTGGGCAGCCAAACAGCCCCGAGTGCTTGTGCCACCAAATTGTGTCACTTCCAGCCACAACAGAAAAACCTGAGGGGGAGCTGAAGGGACTCGTTTATCCACTCAGGGACGTGGAGATGTTCTGAGGGCTGGAGCCCCTTGGATATGGAGACAGGCTGGGAGAGAAGAGAAGGCTCCAAAGAGCCTCTTCCAGAGCCTAAAGGGGCTCCAGGAGAGCTGGAAAGGGGCTGGGGACAAGGCATGGAGGGACAGGACACAGGGAATGGCTTTGAGCTGAAGGAGAGGAGCTTTAGGTGGGATATTGGGAAGTAGTTCCTGGCCATGAGGGTGGGCAGGCCCTGGCACAGAGCGGATCCCTGGCAGTGCCCCAGGCCAGGCTGGACAGGGCTGGGAGCAGCCTGGGACAGGGGGAGGTGTCCCTGCCATGGCAGGGGTGGCACTGGGTGATCCTTAAGGTCCCTTCCAACCCAAACCCTTCAGGCACCATCCCATAACATCCAAACCTTTAACTGAAGGCTGTTCAGTCCCATAACAGCTGAATTTTATCTGAGGCTGTTCAGCCCCATAACAGCCAAACTTTTAACTGAAGGCTGTTCAGTCCCATAACAGCCAAACCTTTAACTGAAGGCTGTTCAGTCCCATAACAGCTGAATTTTAACTGAGGCTGTTCAGCCCCATAACAGCTGAATTTTAACTGAGGCTGTTCAGTCCCATAACAGGCAAACCTTTAACTGAAGGCTGTTCAGTCCCATAACAGCCAAAC